CCGTTTAAATTCATTACGTTGCGATGTTTTGAGAAGTTTTTGCCTTAAATAGATAGCCTATCATGTACATACTAAATTAGTCAAAAGAAACTATGAAATATATAATAAACTCTAAACTGTTTGGGGACAGATCTGTTTTAAAATACCTCTTATAAAATCATTGCAGTGCGTGATCATGATAGGAGACAAAATTCCGCATACGTCGTTTCGGTCCAGTCCCACCGGCTCCGCTCGCAATGAAAAACGACTTAATTACCTCTAACATAAGCTTAAGGTGCAAAGATGAAATTGGCCCGAAATGATATCCTGGGAAAAAAGACAAGCAAAACGACTAAAAATCTAAAGTACGTTCAACTTTCAAATCGGTGTTTTTAAACTTCCAGAGGAGCAGGACAAAACGAGCGCAAACTAGAAACTACTTTATCAGTATGCCAAATAGAGGTTTCTGACCAAATTAGAAGGTGTGAAAAAACCTTTTACTAGCACCGAGCTCGGGGTGGAATTTATGGCTCAAGCACGATTGAGTGATTATTTGTATCTGATGAGAAATCCGAATTATTCCAAAATCTATAGAGGAAAGTTTTAGTAAATTATGACATGGCAAATCTCTAGTATCTAGTGAATAATTTTTCAAGTCTGTTAAACTGTGGGACAATCGATAGTAGGGGACTGGTTTGAATCGAGAGAGATCTAATTAAAGCTAAAAATGCAATACGGACCTTAGGTTTTGAACAACAAAACATACTCTTAGTCCAGGAGGATCAAAATTAACATTCCAGTTCACGATACCGTGTTTAATTTTTATAAGGAACCCCGATTGATGGTGGTTACTCTCCATGGTCCCCCTGGTCCTGGTGTAGCAAGCCGTGCGCGGAAGGATTTCAGCAACGTGTTCGTACATGCACCAATCCCTCACCTGCCAATGGAGGAGCAGACTGCAGGGGACTGGGTTTAGCCAGGGACACGCGAGGATGTAATAATCATAGGTGCCCGAGTAAGTTATAGAAAACAGAGAAGTGATTATTCTGACGTGTTATAATTTCGGGGAAACGATTTGTAATCATGTTATTTCCCACGTGTCCCCGTAGTTGATGGTGGTTACACAG